AACATGCATCTAGAATAGTTTATAGATAGTAAGTCTTGTAACAAGAAATACACATGTAAACTAAATAAAGTATGTTAGGTAAGACCTCGCTAGTTGGAAAAAAAAATTTAATAAATATTATAACAAAAAAGTTTTTATTTATAAATAAATATATTATAAAATTATAATTTTTAAATTATAATTATTAAAGCAATAATAATAATACTTTTAATTGTTATATTATATAAGAAACAATTAGTTATTTATAATTTTATAGTAATTATTAATGCAGTAATATATTGTAAATCATAAAAAACAATATTTAAAAATTTGTTAATTTGTTATTTAGTTATTGAATTTTTATTTATAAGGGATTGCTTTTTAACAATATTATAAGTGTAAAAGTTAACTTATATCTTTTTTTGTTAAGAAGAATTTAATATAGAACTTAAAAAATAATCTACCTATATATTCTTTTTAATTTTAAATTCAATTTAATTTTTTATAAAATAAATTATTTAAGATTTATTATTATTATTATTTTTAAATAATTAAATTATTAATTAATTTTAATTATTAGATATAATATTAAATTGTAATATTGGATTTTTTAATAATTTATATAATTTTAATAACAAATATATCTTTTTTTTAAATATTTCTATTATATAATATTTATTATTTATGAAATTATTTTATATTTTATTTGAATATACTGTATATATTAAAATTAAAAATTTTTTAATTTAAATAATAAAATAAATTAAAACAAATATATTTTATTAATATATAATATGATAGACATATTTAGTAATAATAATAATAAATTTTAAAAATTTTAATAATATAAAATTTTTTATTATTAATTTAATTTTATATAATTTATTTGTATATATTTTTTTGAATTAAGCAGAATTAAAATTTAAAAGTTTGTTTTTAATATTTGTTTATTAATATCTATTAAACTTTTTATTAATAATATAAAAAAGCTTGGATTTTAATATATAATTTTTTAAAAATTTTTAATAATATAAATTTCATAAATTATTTATAAATTTTAAGTTAAAAAAATTATTAAAAAAATAATTTTGAAAATTATGATAAATTATTTATAATCAATATAGTAAACTAATTTTAATAATTAAACATTATTGTTTTAATATAAAAATCAAAAAATAATAATATATAAAGAAAAAATTTCAAAAAAATAATATTTTGTTTTGTTTTTTATCTTTTAAATATTATTTTACTCTAATTATTTATATGTTTGATTATTAGATTATTAAAAGCATAAAATTATATTATATTTACAGTATATATATACGTATATTAAATTTACAGAATAAATCACATGAAAATTTTCATGTCACAAGCCATATTCATCATACCCTGTGTATATAAGCAAAGAGTACGAATCAAGAAGTCTTTGGGAAATAATGTCAAGTTTAAATGATCAGTTTGCGGCGTTTAGGAAGTCAGTTGCTTCCCAACCAGTTTATGGTCGGCCTAATACATCGAAGACCACAACTTCCGCAACTATTCAATCTAATTCGAAAGTCACTTTAGATACGCAACCCGCGAAAAAGAAGACGAGAAAAACCGGTCAGTAATGATATTTTATTATTAAAATCTTTCTATTGAGTGACGTATTTTCTACTAATCGTCAATCTAACTCTAGTCTACTCACAGCCAAATGAAACAAGTACTGTTAAAAATACACTGAGCTTACTTCACAATGTGATCAGCTATCTCAAGGTGATTAATGATTTCAGATTTCCAGAACTATTCTAGTCTTAAATTTACACGATCTTATTGAAAAATAGGAAAAAGTAGATTCCCCACAAACAGCCGAAGATCTCAAGAGAGAGAATATAGCAGACATCACCAGTAATAGAGAATTATATGAAATAATGATCAAAAATCCGAAAATAGTATATAACGCTGCAGATGGAACATTTCAATATAAGGTTAGCTAAACTTTGAAATAGTTATTGATATAATGTTACCTTTCAATAGTAAACTTGTTTAATTTTATGTAGCCAATTTATCCTATTCGATCCAAAGAAGACTTGTTGAAATTGTTAAAGGAAAGGAAAGACAAAGTTGGCGTATCTCGTGGAATGCTATTTAAGGATTTAGACGATTGCACAGATTTAACAAACGTTATAGAGGTAGTTTCATGAAGTTTCTGTGAACTTACAAGTTCTACAAATTCATCAAATATATTAAATTAGGAGTTAGAAAAAGAAGGGAAGATTATGGTTATACGACTTATGAAAGATAATTCTCCACGATTATTATACTGGAATGATCAACAATATAATACTCCTATGGATAAAGGTAAAATCATATTAGCTTACGAATGTACTTTTGTATTGCTATTGATAATCCTATTTCATTAGAGTTTGTAGATATGTTTAATAGTGTCAAGGTTCCAGATGAGAGTGATCTAAAGAAGTCACTCGAGGCCGGTAAGAAATATAAAATACAACCTTTTCTATCTTGCAAAATAGTTCTTAACATTATATTATTTGGACAGCTGGATTACAAACAATGTCTGTTCTTGAAAATAAAGCCCGAACAGAGGTATCTAGTTTCATACTGACGTATACTTTATTCAATAATCTCAATTGTAACTTATATTATGTGAATAAAATACAGGATAAACCTAAACAGAAAAAAAGGAAACAAACCAATAGAAAGATCAAAATCACAAACACTCATTTGGCAAATTTCCATATGCCAACAAAGTCATAGTTTCATAATTCTCTGAGTTCTGGATTTTGGGGTCTTCTAATTAGTCAACAACTGTTCAATTAGATCACTAATACTGCCATATCAGATCTCTGGTTGAAATAACCTTATAGATAGTTTTCGATTAAGAACATTTAAAAAACCGCAAATATAACCTGGCATATTTTTTGTGAAATTTGGTATTCAAATTCTTATTCAATGATAGTTTTTATGCTTGATAAATAAATTGCGAGACGCCGAATGATATTATGCGTCTTTATCAATTTCATTATGTAAGAAAGTTAATCGAATTTTGATAAATTTCTGGAAAAATGATTTCAGTATTTATTACATTTTTTTTAAAAAAAAACAATCCAATAAAAAGAATACTGTTAATTTAAAAGATCAGTACAAAAAAGATGGAAGCAATATACATTATAATCTAAATAATTTTAGTATTAATTTATTTATTTCAAGTAATAAATTTATTGCTTATCTTTTTATTATTATAATTTTAAAGAATATTTTGTCATCAAATTTTATAAATTATTTATTATTTTTATATAATTACAAAAATTTTTAAATTTTTAAATATTTAATTGTATTTAATTAATAATTTTATTACAAATTTTTATTTATATTTTAAATATAAAATTATAATAGTAATATAGTATTATAAAAAATATAGTATAATATAAAAATAGTTATATATTTGATTATTTGAAACAATAAAAATATTTATAATGTATAACAAAAAAATTGAAATTGTATTTTTTATTAAAATTTAATAAACAATTGCTTAATTAAAATAAAAATAGGTTTAATTTATATTTGCATTTCTTTTATAAGAGTTATTATCTATAAACTATTCTAATACATATTATACTATATTGAATTATTTTTATATTGATTGTTACTACTGTCCTATTTTTTTTTTTTTTTTTTTTTTTGTAGGTAAACATCATTTCTTTATTTGATTTGTATATAGCAGGGTATACATCG